GGCAGCTCTCAGGTGGGCGCCATTGCCATTCTAAGAGAAGAAGGGAGGTGTTAATGGTGAGTTCCGGCACCCCTTTTTCTAGAAAAACGCACTGTCTTTAAGGCTTTAAACAGTAACATGAACACCTTGTTTGGGCTTAAAAAACAACTGGTAGCCACTGCAGCTGTTTCAAAACAGGGGCTATTTGAGTTCTAAAAGGAAATACAGCTGATAATCTGGCTGCTGCATTTTGTAGAAGTTGAAGTTTCTAAGATACTTCAAGGGCAGCCTCAGTTGGAGCACATCGACTCATCTAATCTGGAAGTTCCCAGAGCATGGAGTACAGTGGCTGGAGCTGGTGAACGAGCCAGAGCTTGAAAAAGGGACTCCTAGTCACTGAGGCCACATGAGCCTCTAGTGATAGTGTTGAATCCAGGAGCACACCAAACTGCAAACCTGCTCCCTCCAAGGGAATGCAATCTCTTCCAGAACAGGCAATTTCCCCACCTCCTGGATGTGAAAGCTCTGGACACATAACACCTCTGCCTTTTTGGGATTCAGCTTCAATTTATTAGCACACATCCAGCCCATAACTGCCTCCAGTATGGGGGACAAGATGGAACCCTGCGGGACACCACAGGACAGCTCCCATGGTGCCAAACCATAGCCTCCTGTAAGTACTTTGTGGAAACAGCCCTCAAGATAAGAACAGAGCCACTGAAGCACAGTGCCCCAGGCGTCAACCTCCCACAGGGCCTCCGGAAGGATGCTGTGGTCAACAGCATCAAAGGCTGTTGAGAGATCAAGGATATTAAGTAGGATCACACTCTTCCTTTCTCCTGACAAATGTCACCAGCTAGCCTGTACAAGGCAGTTTCACTGTCATGGTCAGGCCTGAAGCCAGAATGGAATGGATCCAAGTAATCAGTTTCCTCCAAGCATGCTCAAAGCTCACCTTCTTGAGCACCTTGCCCCAAAAGAGGATGTTCACACCTGGGTAATAGTATTAAATATCTTAACAATTTCTGAACATTACAGAAGAAATACCTACAATGCCTGTCTATTTTAGTTTGCTATCCACAAATTTAAAAAAAGGCATGTAGATTATGGTAACCATATGCAAGTAGGTTCTGCAAATTAGTTCTGCTGCATGAACACGATACATTTTTGGTGCAGCTCACAGTACCAAATAAGTTGACTGCTGTACTATAATTGACATTCTTTTCTTGCTAGGATACCCCGCCCCACCATGGGAGAAAGAAGAACTAAAGGCAAGAAGTAGTAGTTCTGGAAATTATGGAACTAAATAGGTTGGGGGGGTATTGGGGGGAAAGCTTCAGTTTCCAAAGCACATTCACAGAAGCAGAATTTAAAATTAGATTTTTGCAAAGTGAAAAGCTTTATGGTTGTGGTCCAATTTTCCTAAATACTGGACCAGAATAGAATGATCCAGCCTTCTATAACACAAAAACAATAAGTAAGATTACTGGGATGTATTTATTCATATGTATATACACATACTCAGCAAGGGGCATGTACCATTATCCATCCCCCAGCAGCCATAGCCAAGCACTCAAAAAATCCACCTTCCTTCCATCTCTCTGACAGTCCTCAATTAATGAGTTCCGATATAATGCTAAACCATGATTTAGCATTACAAGAACAAACCTGTGTGAGCCCTGTCGCTCCCATACCTCTCCCCTGGTAGCCTGCAAGGAGAAGACTGGAAGCTTCTGCTTACACTTTTGATTACAGGCAGTTTAGTGTCTTGTCCACTTGCTTCAACTTACATGTGATCTCTTTGGTTTATTATTATTGAATTATTTCACTGCAGGCCAGTTATGTGTTTATGGAATACAGAGCTAGCCAAAGCACAAGGTATTTGGTCACTAGGCAGTTATAAAGGGGTGCATGTGCTATACATGTAGCAATTTAAGCATTACACAGAGCTATAGGGATAGGAGGGAATGTGAGTGACCTGGCTGTTTCCTGCATTACATTTGAAATCACAACTTGGATATCTCTCCCACAGACAGATGTGTCAGAGTTATAGGCATCTGGGTGTTACACATTTCACAATGAGTGAGATGCATTCGGTCCTACTTTAGATATAATGGGAAAGACTGGGGGGAAAGAGAGACACTGCCACTTTCTGTCCCTGCACCAGTGTAACAGCTGTAACAATTTTAACCTTCACATTCCTAATATAATTTTTTTGAGTGACACCATGATAATTGTTAACTACCCTAAGATCAGTATAAGTCTGTAAAATTCTACACTGATTTTTTTTTTGGGGGGGAGGGGTGTTAAGGTGGGCTCACATATTCCTGTAATGTGTCAAAGCCTGCTGTGGTTTTTTTTGCCTTGGATCCAATGGTGCACTTCCATGAGAGGAAATGTCTTTTTGTGTGTGGAAGGGTTGCTTCTAACATAGAAAAATAAATGTTTCCATTCCAGAGAAGTTCTTTCATTTGCACAATTCTTTGTGCAAAACTCTCTTTGCCTCTTAGGACCTTTCAAAAGCCCACTTGTTTTTAGCTCCCATATTTACGACGTCTCTTATAGAAATAATCTGACACTGCAGGGCAAGAGGCCTCCCTCTGGATAACCCAACAGTTCACGGAACAGAGCTCACAGTTTTCTTCCACACACAGGTTTTTGTATCCAACCGCCCATTTATATTTTTTCTAGGTTTTTTGTCACATACATAATCAAAACAGGGAATAGTAGAAATTTCCAATTATTTTCATTACTACAAAATGCTCCCATGCATGTCCACACAGCAACACATGGGGGGTGGGGGCAGACTTTGGTGTACTAAAGTGTAGCAAATCCACTTAAATACAGTTGTGAAATCATATATTTATATGAAAGTATCTCCTCAATTATAAATGTACCACTGCTAATTTGATATATGGTTGAACAGGCATCACACACCCTGCCTATGATGAAATACATGGCAATTTTACTTAGAAATATTTTACACTCAGGTCTGTTATTAAGATGAGCACTGTTTGCACAAGGTCACTGCAAACACAAGATGTATCAACTGAGTCAAATATCCACTATAACATAAATGTTTTTATGAGCAGCAGGTGTATTCCTGCAAAAGACTATAAAGCTATTAACTGCTCAGTAAGGAATACATAATAATAGGTTGTTAACTCAACTGCTCTGACAAGAGCAGGGAGAAAGGACACTTTAAAATCATTAGTAAGGCCTGCAGAAAATGAAGATAGTCTACACACTATGATTTTGAGGCAAGGATGGTTTTGAGTCAAAAAGATAAATGGCTTGGATTCTAAGAGAAGTTAACTTGAAGTTCACGGAAGGTAAGTTTTCTGAACTTTCCTCAACAGCCTTTGCCCCCCCCCAAGCCTCAATGGAGGATTGGGGCCCTCCTGAATAATGTGGGGTGGAGAAGGTAAATTTCATTCCATGAACTTCCTTACATTAACATACATTAGAATAGAAACCCATGCCCTGCAATGTCCCCTCATTCCTCCAAGAACAACATTGTTCTTTTTACTTTAAAAGACACACTAGAAGAGATATTTGTGATGCTTAGGAAAGTTTTTAATATTTATTCTAATTTCATTTCCTCCTAAAAAGGGAACACTGCATAAGGTAAAAATAAAAATAAAAACAACACACTTAAATTGGAGGCTAACAGTTTTCATAGAGATTAATGTGTATAACAGGGGCAACATTACCCTTGCTGTACACAAATATTAATTTAGTCCCATTGGTTAAATAGCTATTGCAGGAATTTGAAGCAATACAAATATATCCAAACTGGTTTGTTGGAGACATTGGTGGGATGGGGGAGGGAAGAGATCCACTTCTATGGGGGGAGGGGAACCCTACCGAAAGTATTCAGCCTTAGTTAGAACTAAGAGAATTATACCAGACTTGGTCCTCATGACCCTCCAGTGGGCATCTGCCTTAAGAAAATATTCAGAGCATGTTCTGTTCTGATCTAAGCAGTCATTACATGGCTGGTTTTGTTGTAGAAAGGTCAGCATTTTAACATAGCATTGGATATCAATCGGGCACTTCTAAAGATCAGCAATTCTGATAATCATTTTCACGGTTATTTTCTGTTGGGATATAATCTGCAAATGATAATTTGCTTGCAAGCATAATATTAACATATTTTTAATGGGTACTATGGACTTATCCCAAAGGATGCTTGGTTTAGTAAAGTGTAGTTGCAATTTGTGTTGTGCACGAAGTTCATAACACAAAACTGTGCAGGGATAGTGTACATCAAGCTCCATTCACATAAGGGGTGCTTTTCCTAATTAATTTCATCATCAGGGAATAACCTGTTCTGTGCACTAAAATGTGGTAACATAAACATTAATAATCTGCTATTATCTTTACCAGAATGTTTGTCATATACTATCTCAACAGTATACCATCTAACTTACATCTTAGCAGTTTGCATACAAAAAGACACTATGAAAGCAGGTTACACATATTTATTAGTGTTCATAACCATCACCATCAAGCTGCTGAAATGTCATTAACTTGTTTACTATTGTCCAGAATTAATAGGCATTAAAAACAAGTCATGTTAATTATGCTTATTAAGGCAAAAAGGTGCATATTAAAGTAATGATCTGATCATATTAGTACTTTGATCCTGGGAGGCTGTTATTTCTTTTTCCAGCGCTTCTTTCAATGACCTTTTGTCTGCGATGGAAGTACTCATGTGAAAATTTCACCAAACATTTAGATCACACATGAGCAAACTGCTACACTGTGACTGAGTAGCCAACCGCAGCACAAACTGATGGCAAAATATGTCTACAGCCACTTCACTGTGTCCAAAATTCAGTTTGACAAGGTACTGGGCCAACAGTAGGCCACATAAATGAGCTCCAGCTCATTCAAACAAGGTGACAAGAAATCTATCTATAAAACTGCAGGCTATACTGTATGTTGATCTACAAAAAAGGGACAATGTTAAAAACAAGATGCTTTGAGGGTTTTATTTCATTTAAGTCAAGACCTACTTTCTCATAGTACTTGATCTCGTAGTCCAGAATGGCTCCATTAGGAAAATCAGGGTCTTGCCATGAGAGGGCAATGCTGTTTTGGGAAGCCCAGTCCTTCCTGACCATACCTATCAAGGAGGGTGCTGAAAAGGAAAAGGATAACTATGGGTTAAAGACAATGCAACATATTTAGACTATCACAAGGAGGTAATTTGGGGTGGTGTCCAAAGGACATAGCCAGCAGATCACACTGGTGTTTTCAAGAGGCTGGGTGGAACATGGAGAAGATAGTGCAGAATAACACATTAAGAAGTTAATTGTTCAAACAGGATTCCCTCCAGAAACAGACGTGTGATCCAACAAGTTTCTGTACTACTGTATTCAATGCCCAGAGAGAGTTTATTATCACAATTTAAATTAATAGACACCATTCCTTTTGGAAATTGGTCAAATGTTGAAGTAAATATCATCTGTTCATACTTTATACTCATTTTCGATGTGACAAAGGGCATATAAAAAGTAGCATGACTTATAGGAGATGTGAAAAAGTTTCCTGAGACCACATGAGGCTTCTGACCCAGGTCTGGAAGCTGCGGCTGGTACAGAACAGAATCCTGTGGCATATCTGCTCCGTGGGGCAGCCTTCTGGAAGCACATTACACAGATACTAGAACAATTGCACAGACTGCCTATGTGCTGCTGAGCCAAGTTCAAGAATTCTGTATTTTCATACAAGATCCTACAAAACTTAGGACCTAGATAGTTGACAGAGCTTGTGTTCCCATATAGACCTACCCCACATTCTACCTTTGTGCAGGCACCAGGTGTTGCTAGAGATTGTACAATAACAGTGAATGAGAACTCATTGGGTGCAGTATTCTACCTTGATATTGGCTATTTTGTTCTTGCTTAGCAGCAGCTTGTAAATCTAAAAGTTACTAGCCAGCAGCACCTCTGTGTTCCTATATAGTCAGACAATATTACCAGACCTAAAACCATAATCACAGGCTTATTCCCATGCTTATCCTACAACAAGTTACTACATAATACAATTTACAGGCGTTTTATGCTGTTTGCAAAGAATAAAGAGTTCATTGTCTATGCAAAAGAATAAAAGGACATGTATCCAAAATAAAAATGCCAGCATTCAGAAATTAGTGGAAGAAATTAGGACACAATGATCCTGACCTCAAGTCACCACTATTCAACAAAAAGGTTTCAAGGGAAGGCTCTATTCAATTCAGATTTAATGTATCTCTTGATTTCTTTCCCTCTACATGTGCTGAATTAGCATAAGCATAGCATATCTAGCATGATTTTACTGTATATGTTGTTGCGGTTTAATTACTCTGTCTTATTTTGCATCCATTTGGGATCAACACAGAAGCATCACACACCCATGGCTACCCAATAGCTCCCCTGTTTGCAGTTTTATTTGCTTGCTTGCTTGCTGCTGTATGTATGTATGTATGTATGATGTATGTATGTATGTATGTATGTATGTATGTTTCTCTATATATCTTTCAAGTGAGGATGCTACTTTGTTCCCTTGATGAAGTGGGCACTTCCTTATGCCCCAATAAATCTATTAATCTTTAAGGCGCCACAAGACTCTTTGTTGTTTTTGCTGCAACAGACTAACACGACTACCCCTCTGGAATTTGTTACCTTGCTATAGCCATCTGCCAACACACAGTTCTCCAATTACTTTTGAGAATGCCATCTGGAATTGTCAAAGGCCTTGCCAAAGTCACATTATATGCACTGCATTCCCTTTATCCATCAAACCAATTATTCTGTCAAGGAGGGGAATGAGATATGGTTAGTGATTTTTCCCGCTCCGCCTGCCTCAAGTGGTGGGAAGTTCAGAGCTGTCTTTTAAGTAGAAAAAACAGTGGAAAGAAACCTATGGTGTCTATATCTGATCCTTTACAACATACAGGTTGGACAGGCATGATCATCACACACATAAAACAGAGAACTATCATATCCAATTAACATTCACACATCCATCACCAATCCCACCCACAGCACAAGAAAATCTAGCAAACTCCCAAAAGTCTGACACTGAATTCCTTTGCTCCACCCTACAAATGGCCAACAGGCCACTTAAAATATTTTTAATTATAGGTCTTTAAACAAATTTTTAGAGTGCCTTTAAACAAATTTTTTAAAACCTGCAATGTTTTCTCCTTTTTCATTATACATAAATCCAAATCCGCCATCCATTCCATGATGCTATAAGAATTTCCCCAAGCAATATAGCTAAAATATATAGACATGCAAACAAAGGACTCAGATTGTTCTTAGCTTAATTGAAAACTTTCACTAAATACTCCCCAAACCTGAACCCATCAAATCCAGGATGATTTTACAGCACAGCCTATGTATGCTTATTCAAAAGTAAAACCTACTTTGTTCTGTGGCACTTACTCTAGGTCAGAGGAGAGAAGTTGTCAGTCAGTGTAGAAAACACTGAGTTAAATTGACCAATGGTCTAACTTAGTATAAGACAACTTTCTATGTATCTGTATCGCAAAATACAATATATTTAAAGAAGCAATACTTAGCAAATCTAGACCCTTTTGGTCCAATGAGCTAGTACAGCTAACCCTCCTGGACCCATCTGATACTTCACCCATACCTTTTCACTGTTCCTATTCCTCAAATGTTGACATCTCTTAGGGCTTCTTTACTATTAGATCCATCAAGCTTCCTTCATTCTGTCCTATTTATTGAGCAAAACTATGTCCACCGTGGCAATGCCACAAATACACAACTGCAGCAAAATTGTTCTCCCTATGAAGTGCCACTGAAGGTCTGCAGTCCTTGATGTGACCTCAGTCCTGCTTTAGAGGAACTTGAAGACCCCTGACTGTTTTGGTTTGAAACTGCATTGCTTTTTATACTGACCTTTTCAGTTGTTCTATTATAGGGATGGGGGTAATTGATGGATTCAATATCAGGGACTGTTTTCCATACACAAAACATTTTTTCTTGCCTGTTTTTTTCCTGGAAAGATCACTTGTGGAATTCACCGCAGACAAAGACCCAACTAGGCAACGCACCAGAAACCTTCCAAAAATGAACTGAATCACCCAGCCACAATCAGGATCTAATGGCAGACCACATATGCACTGTTCACCAGAAAAAGGACGTCCAAGTTGATAGTCTTATGGAAAGCAAGTGTGGATTCAGCCAATCATAATTTACCATAGCAATACCATCAAATACAGCTTTTCTGTGGCAACTAATCCTCAGTCCATTTTCAAAATAATGATTGAAAACACTACCTTATAAATCTGGGTTATCATGTTGCAAGTCTTTATATTCAGGAATGTGGAGCTGGGGCAAAGAGACACAGTATGCAAAAAACTAGGTTGTCAGACCATGTTTTCAGACTTTGCAGCAAGGAAGGCTATTTTTGATGGCATCTCTATAGCAAGTGTTATGTATGCTGTACTGTAATACTTTGGCAATCATTGCAGGATGATTTGAGACAAAAGTGAGTTTTCTGAAGAGATTCCAAAATGGTATGGTCATTTTTCTACCATAGTTTTGGCAAGTCAGGTTTTTTATATCACCATGCAGTAAGAAAAATGTTAAACTGAAATCCTTGATGTTTTGTATGTTATGGCCAGTCACCAAGTTTTTAAAAATGACTTTATTCCCAGGTAGGAAGTTCCTGATTATTTATTTCCTGGCTTCTACGATCCTTTTTCTAAACCATAACACTAAAATACTTTATTTCTGGTCCAACACTATAATTTTTAACATATCCATTGGCCAAAAAAATAACACCACATTTGATAGGAATCAGGCTGAAAATATAAGAAGTGCTTCTTCTAGTCCAGTGATTGTGCACCTTACACATGGCACAATAATGTCCTATTTCTATTTTCAGATGATCATCTCAAAACCAATGATAACAACTGAAAGGTACATAAGTAAACTGCACAGAAAAGAGAGGAGGCAGCAGGGCAGGGGGACAACTTGTTTCCTTGTTAAGAGCATATGGTCAGGTGAAGAAGAAAGGTAAATTGTTGGCAGAAATAAATATTACCAAACACTGTTAATTATAAAATGTGTTACACAACTTTGTGCACTCTAACTTTGCAATTGAGGTTTTCAGCAGAAATGTGTACTTTCAGTGCTGCCAGAAATTCTTATAAGAATTGCCTCAACCTTTATTTCTATAACTGGATTACAATGGCTATGAAGTTTGACAGTAAGTATAACGTTATCTCATATATAGCAATAAATAGAGTCTAAGGTCATTCACAGACTAGACTTGAGAAAAATGCTATTTCAATTCACTGCTGCAAAACTATTTATTTCATTTGTTATTTTTATAAAGTCTGCAAGGAGAAGTAATAGAAAGACAGAAAAAGAAAACCATTATATTCTTAGCAACGGGACACAAAATACTGGAACACAGTGATACACATGCTGACAATCTGTTCCAGGCACAGAAGCTCCAGTGCACGCATGGAACTCCTCTGCTTGACATGTTTTTCTATTCGTTTCAATGGAATTGTGTTCCACAGAGAAATGAATGGGCCTTACTGTCAGGGCTGGGTGATGAGGAGTTGTGGAAGGTGCCAGCTGGAGAGTCCCCTAGGAAAGCCACAGAGGAGGAAGGCTCAGAGCCAGGGGAGTTGGTGGGACACTGAGCACAGGTCAGAGGATGAAGAAGTGGTAGAATGGTTGAATGTTGAAGAAACAACAGTTGTTCGCCCCCTCCCTGCCACTGACCCCCTTCCTTGCCCTCTCCCTTCTTCCCCCCCTCTTACCTTGCTGTCTTCAGCCTCCTGCTCATGAGACGCTGCATCTCCAGACGCCACACGGCCTAGAGTGGCCTCCAGAAGGTCACTCCAGGCCTCGCCGCGTTGGGAGATGCCACACAGTCTAGAGCAGCATCCGGGAAAACGGGGGCATCCCAGATTGGGATCAGAAGATGGGGAGCTTCTGTAAATTCAAGATGTCCTAATTAAATTGAGACACTTGAGGGGTCTGAGATGAACCAGAGGCAGGAAGCAATTCAGATTCTGGACATGAAGTCGGGAAGGAGGGGCCAGAGGTGACATAAGCATCCATGGAGCTTGCCTCCTACTGTAGCAAGTCACCCCCCCCCCGTCTCCAA